AGGGGGAAGAGGGGAGGGGGAGGATCCCTCTTCACGTAAGAAGCCTTCAAGCTTCCACTTCACTGACAGAAGAATCTGAATTGAGCAACCAACATGAGACTGAAAGTGGAAGGAATGTTCTGATCCAGTGCAAATGTTAAAGGAAGTCAACGATCTCCACTGTGTGGCATCTGATAATGGATATGCTTTTATTGTCCAACCTTATTTTCTTGTAAGGATAACATTACGAAGTAAATAAAGCAAATCTGACCATTCCAATTTTTTTTACATATAATAAGCCTTGTTTCAAATAATTTCCAACCCCTTGGTGTTTCTTTCCTTCTTTCAGCCATCTCAGCCGCTCTATCACCTACCTTTTCCTGATTTTGATTCTCATCCTTATAGAATTCAAATTCTCGTCCATCTATACTGTAGGCAACTTTGTAGGCACGGACATACTCTGCTCGGCCCGCACGGCTTGCTCCTTGAGTAACAACCCCAGAGATCCTCATTTGGTTCAACAGATTAAGCTACATGGGATAAAAAAAGGGGGGGGAAAGGACCTTAAAAGAGGCATAATGAACCAAGTTGGCTGGTACCTAAAATGAAAACAGCAAAACCAATCATGTATCAAAAGTTAGATTGTATTGAAGTGACATTATTCATTAAGTCTGTTCTGTGTATGTGTACTTTGCTTTTGTTAATTAGTTCAGCACAATAATTTTCATTAGAAAAGGTTAGGTTATAATCTCCTCAGGACACGGATCTGTTTGTTTTTAAAAGTGAAGCAAAGTCATCTAGAAATAAGCCATCACACTTATTGAGAGGCCCTTTTGAGTGACCAACCTTGACTGAAAACCTCTTCCTTCTCAAAACTCAGAGCTATCACCAGAAAATGAAAAACTCTGTAAACATTTCCATTCCAAGCTCTATCTGACCATGGACTTCAACTCCAGCTTTCCTTTAAAAATGCTACAGTTAGGGCTTTGCTTCCTGCCTAATCCCTATAAATAAGAGACAGGATTGGAAGAAGGCTTACCAAGGAGAGAAATTTACACAGCATCGCCACCAGCAAGTCCTTCCACTGTGTTTATGTTTTTAAAAAAGCTCCCATGGTATCAACAGAAGCATTAAAAAAAGTTTAGTCTTGGCAAGCATGTGTAGTTCTCCAGATGCTCTTTAATTCCCTCAGCCTTAGCAGGCTTGTCCAACTAAGAGGATACAGGCACTGCAGCCTAACAACATCTAGAGCCTCCAACTACCCCTCTGCTAATTGTTGCATGTCCCAGAGTGGCTGCAGGTTGGGTGAAGAACCCATTGAGTTATGACATGGCCATCAGCCACCATCCATCTCTGAGGCCCATTCATACAGTGATAATGGCCATACATCTTCCAGTCCCCTTCTTGCCTTCTGGAACTGATGCTTCATCTTGCACCAATACCTGAATCCAAGGGTTTTGGTCATAGTTGCTGGATGTCCAGGCATTCACAATTCCTGTGTTGTGGAGACGGGCAAGTTCGGGGCCCCAGCGTTGCAGACCCAGGAAGCCATAGTACACAGAAGATGCTGTAAGCTGGCCATCCACAATAGCTCCTGTTTGCATGCCCAATGCATCTGCACAGCCTGGAGTGGGTGAATTGGGGGGAGGGAGAAAGGAGAAAATGAAAATATCATGAGCATAAAAAGAGGCAAAAGAAGAAGGCTGGAATAAAAGGGCAGAGGAGGGATGTAAGAATCAGAATTTTAAAAAAACCAGGAGCATCTCCTATAAAATTAGGACCAAATCATTCTATGTGCTCCTGGTGAACTTGGGCTCCAAACATGGATCTGGCTGTAATGAAAGCAGCACCGTCCACACACAAGGGAGTTCGAGAAATGACTCAGAGGGATCCTGAAGTCTGCAGAAGTACTAAACAAACTTTAGAGGGGGGGGAAAGCTAAAGAACTGTCCGACTGAACAGCCTGTCATGGCTCTCCATATCTGATGCAGTTCCATGGTGCCCGCAAGACATCTGATAAACTGAAAACACACTGGGGAAATTTGACATAGGCCAAGCTCCTTGCCTTGCCGCAAGGAGAACTTTCCAGATTCTCACACCTGTCTCCAAGGCTCGACCTCTGTATCAAAATCTGCCTCCAGGCTCCCAGCAGTTGGCCTCCCTCGCAAAAAGAGCTTCCATCTTTCAACTCTATCCTCAAGTTGCTTGAGAATTTCTTCGGAATTTCTCTTGGGGAACTTCTTGAATTTAAGGTGGCAGAAAGTCTTATTGCTAATAAGCCTCCCTGCCTACTCATGTTTCCCATCTGAAAATAGCACCAAAGGGTTGGGGAGTTCCGTCCTGATGGATTTCTTTGGGATTTAATGGAATAAGCAGCTTTCCTTGCCCCCAAACTCCTTTCTCATTGAAAGTCTTCTCTCCTTTGCCCACCAATAAATATATACAAACGGGGGGTATGGCTAGCCACTGATGAGGATGTTGTGCTGTGTTCTCAGCTCTTCCCCCGATCCAGCTATTTTCTTTAATATAGCCAGTTTACCTTATTAAATATCTTATCAAATAGTAAGATAAATTAAGCAGGATGTTAAGGGAGGAGACTTTGCACGAAGGAAAGGGGATCAAAGCTTATTTGAAAGGAGATTGAGGAGGCACCCCTTCCCAGCAAGGAAGAAGCAGCAATGGAGGACGACAGGCAAGGACAGACATCTGATATGAAGGTAACCGGACAATTAATGAAACAACTTAAAAAAGAACTTAAGACAGAATGGGACAAACATGCTGTGGGAGTAGCTAAAGACTTGGCAGGTATGTCTGAGCAAATGAATAAACAATTTAAGGAAATGTCACGGCAAATAGCAGATATAGCTCAGGTTGCCAGCAAAGCTTATGATATGGCTTATGATATGGATACAAACAATACTTTGGAGATAGGCAAGACTCAAAAGAGTATTTCCAAAATAACGATTGAGTTGACAGATTTACAGGATCGTAGCAGGAGAAATAATTGAAGGATCAAAGGAGTGTCAGAGAAAACTGGAACAAGCAATCTGACTATTTATCTCCTCTCTAAAATTAATGACCTGAGCTCTGATTTGAACTTTTTGGATAAAGGTATTGAACGTGCTCACCAGGTTTACTCTCCTGGGAATACACAGAACTCTAGAGACATTTTGGTCAGATCTGAAAATTCAAATGTAAAAGATAAAATTATAAGAAAAGCCTGTGAACTGGAGGAGATTAAATGGGACGGTGAGAGAATATTCTTCTTCCAAAATATCAGCGTAGCTACATTGCAGTGAAGAAAGGAATTCAAACCACTGGCAGAAAAACTTATGCAGAATGAAATTCAATACAAATGGGGATTCCCTTTCAAGCTCATTGTTTTTATGTCACATGGATGAAAAGTTATTTCAACTTTGAGATGCAGAGCTGGTTGGCAGGGCACCCTAACAAGGGATGAAGGAAGCTATCTACAATTTGTCCTTGGCACTGTGGAAAGCAGGTTCAACCACAAGCTGAAGATTAGATAAGAACGCTGCATCGAGCTGTGGAGTAACAGAAAATATATTGATTGTTTTTTTGAATTTTTAGGTTTGGAGGAAAGGAAAAACGGAGGGAGTTAAATAAATAAGGGGAAAGAACTATATAAAATAATAATGTAGGTAAAACTATGGCTAAGGAACTATTGTAATTTAATTTGAGAGTTTATTGGCTGGTAAGGGGGAGAAGGCATCTCAGTAGAGCTAAGGGGAAAAAAACATATTAGTGCAATTAAAAACAGCAATGGTCAAATTGTGACCAAAACCCAAGGTATAAGTGAACAATTCAGACTTTTTGTTCAAGAATTATATTCCTCAAATAATCCATCACCAATAAAAATTAATCCATTTTTAAATACATTAACATTCCCAGAATTGGCTCCAGAAGACATCCAATTTATGGCATCTTCTTTTTGTATTTCAGAAATCTCTGAAGTTTTCAATACTATTCAAAATGGAAAATCTCCTGGCCCTGATGGATTGTCAGGGGAATTTTATAAAGAATTTGAAGAGATTTTAAATACCTGAATTTTTATTTTTATGCAATACTTTGCACTGGGGGAACCTTTACCAGAGTCTTGGAAACAGTCTAAGATCATTTTGATCTTTAAATCAGGTAAAAATTCCCAGGATTTGACATCTTATAGGTCCATTTCACTTCTCAACATGGACTATAAACTGTACACTAAACTGTTAGCTATTCAACTACAAGTGATTATAGGTAAAATTATTCATATGGATCAATCTGACTTTCTTTATTATATATTTAATTGAAATATATCTACGCCTGTCAGGAAATTATTAAATATTATACAATTTAGTAAAATTAATAAATCTTCCCCAGCCATTTGTTCTTTAGATATATTTAAAGCTTTTGATTCTCTGGAAATACAATTTTTAAAACAAATATTAATTCAATTTAAATTTGGGGCTGGTTTTGGTAAGACAATTGAACGTAACTAAAGCCCAGATAAGACTTAACAGTTATGATTCAGATCCCATCACCATTTTAAGAGGTACCAAGCAGGGTTGCCCTTTATCATCTTTACTATTTAACCTAGCTGTAGAGGCATTGGCAATAGCACTTAGATACAATAATCAGATTTTTGGGATGAAAATGGTAGATAAGACATATCTTTTAAATCTATTTGTAGATGATATTTTGACTCTCTCAAATGCTTCTTATTCAACTAGCTATATTAAGGAGCAGCTAGAGGAATTTGCAGAGATGTCAGAACTATCCATTAATTTTCATAAATCACATCTGATGTTTTTTCATATTCCCCCAAAAACTCAAAAGGAAATTTCCAGTTTTAGGGATTCCAATATAAATCTTTAAAATCTTTAGGTATAACTATTACTAAAAATATTAATAAAACCTTTACAAATAACTATATACCAACATGGAAGAAATTAAATAAGGAAATGAATAATTAGGCTTCAAAATATTTCAATATTTTAGGGTGAATTGCAGTGGTAAAAATGAAAAATCTTGCATGGCTTAACTTTTTATTTCAATGCCTCCCAGTGGTAATTCCAGAACAGGCTTTAAGACATTGACCAAAACAAAAACAAAAAAATAGAAAGCTTCTGCTTTCATTGCAAAAAACATGAGAGTAAATGCACAAGAGTAAATAAAACGATTTTATATAGACCTCAGAAACAGGGAGGGTGGGACATGCCCAATTTGTTAATATATTACCAAGCAACACAGTTAGGGCATATGATCCCATTTATTACAGAAAACTCTTCCAAACAATGGATTTGGATTCAAATTGAAACTATGTTAGAGTCAAATAAATTTATAAATCAGTGGGTTTTTTTCACTAGTTTTGTAGAATAAAACAGATTGAAAATGTTTTTACTAAAACAATGCTTCAAATCTGGAAGAATAAATACACAGTTTTGATAAAGGATACTTCTCCTTTAACTCCTTTGATAAAATATTTCCATCAAGATAATTATTACGGCTTGGCTAAAATGAGATCTTTGAGAGCATATAATCTTTATAAACTGAAAGATGTTTATAGTAAAAGTGAACCTCTCAAGAAAGATCAGATAGAGCAATGAATAGGTGATTAGCTTATCACCATGGCTTTTTGGGGATCAACTCAAACCTCTTTGGGGCAATAGAAATATCAGTGCTTCAGCAATATGGCCTTATATTAATCTTGAGAATTTAACACTTCATTATTTAGAACAACCAAAAGGAACCATCTCAAAAATTTATAGGTTATTATTGCAATCAGAAATAGGAGATCCACCATATGGATTAAAGGAAGATTGGGAAACTGATGTTAGCAATCCCATAAGGAAATGAATTGGCGGCAGTTATGGAAACCGGGTGGATTCACTTCAACTTTAATGCAAGAATTGCAGTGGAAGATTATTGGCATTGGACTCCTGTTAGATTGGCACATATATATCAAAATTATTCTTCCAAATGCTGGAGAGGTTGTCAAAAAAAAAAAAAAGGGTCATTTTTTCACTTGTGGCGGTCAGGTGATAAAGTTATAACCTTTTGGCGAAAACATTTTTGGAGAGATAAGTATTACCACTAAACAAAGAATTGAATGCTCTCCAGAATTAGGTTATTGCATTTATTTACAGGACCAAACCATAAGCTTGAAAATAAATAACTGATTATTTAATTTTAGCAGCCAAAATAATAATTGTGCAACATTGGAAAACTTTAGATAACATAACAATTGAGTTGTGGACTGACAAGTTATGGATTAATGTGGATTGCCACATTAGAAAAAAATCACAGATAAAGTTAAAGTAATGAAACTTCAGAAGCAGAAACTACAATTTTATCAAATTTGGATGGATTTTATGATTTACCTTAATAGCAGTAGATTATAATTTGGTGTACTCTATATATATGGTAAATTTTCACATGTATAGCACCTGTCTCTTTATTCACATTGTAGAAGATTTTTTTGTATTTTCTAGATCCTTCTTTTTTCTTTATACGTATCTTGGATTTATGTTAATGTGGTTACCTGATATTGCTTGAAATTTTAAAAATGCAAAGAAAAAAATATATATACAAACTCACACTTCCTTCTATTAAAGCCAAGCTATTAAGACTATCCTTCAGCAATGAAAAACAGGCTACAAAGTATGAACAGAGAATTCCAGTTATCAGCTGAATTAAAAGCAATCATAAACAACCAAAGGACAAGGAGGCTAGAAAAACTTCCTTCAAAACTTTCACCCAGTTTTCACACAAGCTGGACAGCTTTAACCAAGCCGTTGCCACTCAACCTACCTCACTGGGCAGTTGTTGGATCAAACAAATAAAAAGACAAAGCTCTTTTTATTCTTTCAGCCAGCCCCCCCGCCCCCGCGGCAATTCACAAAAATGTAAACGCACAATGCCCTTTTGTGTGGCTTGATTTGTTTTGCTTTGCACTGCACTGCCGATGAAAGCAAGCTTTTGCATTTGTCCAAAAAAACCCAGAAAAAGTTCCTGACTTCTCTTGCTTATGACCGAGCTGTAGATTCAGGTGGGCATAACCTCAATCACTCTGCCTTTGGATAAAAGGGCTCACTTTGAGGAACAGACAGATCTTAACCAAAGAAGTACACAATCCATTAAAAAAACTCCATTATGAGGATATCTATGAGGAGTTACTCTGATTGGGAAGACAACTTTTTGGCCTGAAAACAACTAGCTAGGGGATATCCAGATGCATGTGAAGTTATTCTCTCACTCATATGAACTCCAGAATGATTCCATTTTCTCCCTCCCAGTGATCTTCAGCAGGAAAGCTTGTGGCAGGGAAAGGAAACTACAAGATTTCCCCACCCCACCACAAATGCTTGCAGACTGTTGATTTTCCACTGTGAGAAACCAGTGATTTTGAGAAGGGTTTCAGAGTGGGGCGGGAGGGAGTGAGCCAGACTGGTCTCAAGATCTCTAGCTTCCCTCTGTTAACAACAGCAGGAAACCAGCAACTTTGAATGGCTGAAAAAAAGAGGAAGAAAGGAAACATCCTCTTCAGTCCCCTGGTGTTAGATCTGTCCACCTGTAGATTCCCACTCTAACATTTTTGTTCCACTTTCACAAATGTTAAGATTTCCCCAAGCCTGCTGGTATCTCCAGGATGGTTTGGGGTCCATCAGGAACAACACTCCAAGAATGTGATTGCTATTAATAGAATACAGGGTTTATTGGGCAAAATGCTTTCAGTAGGGCTCCTCCCTGAGCATGCCCACCTCCTCTTCACAACAGCCCTCAATGTTCATTCACCTGCCTCTCTCCCTCTTGGTGGCTGAATGGGTGAGGTCCAGATTGTCTCACTGTTGTTCAGTGGCTTAGAGGGACAAGCAAAGGGACAGGGAAAGAAAGAGGGGATTGTGAAGGTCTCCTGTTTCATGGCTGATATCAAGTTGAGTCAGACCTGCTTAGTACTTGGATATGGGAAATGACAATGAAAGCTTGTCTGCAAAATCAAAAATCATCTTAGAAAAAGCGCCAATTGTGACCATGAAAATTGCATGGACATCTGCACAAAATCCATCAGGAGTTAAGGTCCAAGGAGACTCTACCATTAACTTCTCTGTTTAATGGTTTGTAAACCATAGTTCAACATTCCTTGAACTCAGGTCTACACCCATAAGCTCCTATGACCTTAGCCTGAAAAAAATTGCTTTCCCAGTGCAGAGAGATCCATCAGTGGTGCTACAAACCTTCATTTCTTAGCTCTCTTCCAACTCACCAGGAGGAGGACCAAAAACTTACGGATATGGCAGGTCTTCCCCATATAGGGTGATGTGCATTTACAGGCAAAGTTGCCCTTCTGATCCAGGCAGGTCCCTCCATTCTTACAGGGCTGTGAAAGGCATTCATTCGTGCCTATGGCAAAAAGAAAGAACATATGCATCTCATTCCCAGATTTCACCAGATCCGTCCTAAAAAAAAGCCAAATCAAGCCATACATCATAGGAACAGAAGTACAGCCAACTATTTTCAATTATTTTAAAAAGGTTTTAAAAAAATCTGTCACTCAAAACACAGCACTGATTCATACGATATATTATATTCCTTTAGGAAGGCTTCATTTAGCATCTTCATTTTTTTTTTCTGGAAAACCCACTGGCTGTCACGGTTCTTCGTCTTATTTTGAACATGATGTTCATGTTCTTTTTCTAAACCGATGATTTGGAAAATAACAGGAGGACAACAGAAATTGCATGTTTTCATGATTGCAAAAAAATTGATACTTCAAGGTTGGGTGGGTGCTCATTCTTTGTTAGCTGTATAGCTGACTATCAAGAGGGCAAAGTTCAGATCTGTCATATAATCCATTTCTCTCTCTCTTTCTTTTTCCCTTTCCCTCTCTCTTGCTAGGTACACACATTGCATTACACTACAGCTTTGTTAACCATGGTTCACTGAATTAATCACAACTGACTTGATCATTACACTAAAATGCATGGACTATCCAGCATTCTCAATCTGGCCATTTCTACCTGCCCAGGAAGACTCTGCACCAAAAAAACCCTAACCCCCCCGCCCCCATTGATAAGTACCATTTGTTGTTTCCTACAAACAACAAGCCCCACAAAGAGGCATGTGCTGATCTGGGATGACTAATCTATAGTCAACAGCAACTGCGGGGGTAGTTTCAAGATGTCAGCCCTTCAAGGTAAAACAGATTACAAAACCAAAGTTTTGAACACTATTATTACTTTTAGTATCAAATCACAGTAACAGAAACTTGCAAGTCTGAATACTTACCCCCTCCCTCCCTTTATTTTCTTGAGGACTAAGGAGAGTCAAGTCTGAGACGCTTTCTCAAATTACATTTCTGCCTTGGACTCAAATTTCTTTTATCTGATAGTTGTCTTGATGGCAACTCTTCCTCCTGTTCCTCAAGGTTATTCCTATTGTCTGTTATATCAAATCAGCAAGATGGGGGATGGAGTGTTGTGATGCAAGCTTTTTAAGGATAAGGCTTGCATCATAATACTCTGTCTGCCATTTTGCACCCCTGTGGACACTGCTGACTGGAGTGTTACCTGCTGCTCCAGAGAAAACACTGTGAACACTGAATTATGGCATTTCTTCAATAATGGGATATGTGGTTCCTTCCCTCATCTCACCCCTGGGTACTTTAATATTCCTCCCTTTCTCTAGAGTCAAGGAATCATGGTTCCTGCCACCACTTCACCATGAAGATTTATCAGGCTGAGGGACAGTTCTGTCAATCCTGCCCCTGTTAGAAGAGATGTGGACCTTGGGAATGGAGAAGGAATAAAGGTGGGTGGGCTTTCAGAAAAGACTTTTCAGTCCTAAAAAGAAGAAAGCATGAGAAAGAAATTGAAAATAACATTGTCTTGATTTTGTTTAGTATAAGATGGACAGAGACAAGCTTTCAAGATTCTGTTACTCTACCTTACTACAATAAAAAGCATTCCTGGAATCCCTGTGGTGCCTGTTTCTTAACCTGGCCTACCTCAAAGGACTGACACTCTACCACAAAATGTTCTTTCTCTCACTGCAAAATAAACACAATGAGATAAGACAAAGGATGGGAGAATCCAAAATACTGGCTCATTGTCATGTTTTGAATATCACTGTTGCCACCAGGAGAGATGGGAACTTTGGTAGGCTTTTGGAGAGTCCTGTGGGTGGCAAAAATGATGACATTTTCTGGATGGCATAATGCCACTTGAGAGGGTTCGGTAGGGGGAGGAGTGGCTGTGTAAGAGTGCTCAGTTTTAAGTCCCACTTATGAGTTTCCCAGAGGCTGGTTCAAAACTAGCATGAGCTGATCTTCTGTGACCTGGGATATCCTTCCAAAAGAAAATCATACTCACTGTGCTGGCAGTGTTTGCCATTATACCCGGGAAGACATATGCACATGTATTCAATGAAGGCATCACCCCGGCTGGGAACTAGCTTGCACTCCCCACCATTCTGGCATGGATTTGGGTGGCATGGACCTGAAAGGAAGAGATGCAGAAGAAGAAAGAGAACAGAAACACTGGGAAGAAAAGGAATATGATCAGCCTCTGTCTGCAGGTTCCATCTATGTTAAGAGTAGTATTTAAATCAACCCAAAGTAGCAGCATCAACCTCTCCCCATTGCCTGCATCTTAATTCACTAGAAAGAATGAATGGCCAATGAATCCTAAATTTAAGAGCAATGATGATTTGCACATTAGAATGATCTTTAGTGTGGATCTCATTTCCAAACAAATGGCATCTGTAAAACCTTTACCGGATCTGATTAGAAAACCAAAACTGGCTGAGGAATAAACCACAGCCTGTGGCTTGGCCCATTAGTGGGGAAAAACAACTCCAGAGATTCCAGTTTGCATGTAAATGTTAACGAAACCAACAAATGAGCATTCGGGTTTGCTGAGCTGTCCTCTCCTGCCACAGCTTAGAGGAAGAGATCAGGCTGCAGTTCTTCTCAATTAAGGTAGCATTCACAAGAATTCTGGCTTGGTGAACATTTCAGACATGGCCTATTCTATAACACAGGACAACCTGTGGCTCCTGAACCTCTCCTTCATGGCCCCAGAAGTCTCCTCTGCTTTAGCCACCAAACTTCAGCAGTAGTTGCCAAAACTGACTGGCATTGGAATGCTGTGTCAAGTTTTGGTTGCCACAAGGAGCAGGCTGAGGAACTGGAAAGAGTGCGGAGAAGAGCAACAAAGACAGTGATGGACTTGGAGCCTAAATCCTATGAAGAACAGTTAGAAGAACTGGGCATGTTTAGGCTAAAGAAGACAAGGTGAAAGGGAGACATGATAGCAGTCTTCTTCTATTTGAAGGGCTCTCACAGGAAAGAGGGTTGGATTTACTCTCCATAGTGCCCAAGGATGGGACAAGAACCAGTGGGTGGGAGCTTTACAGAGAGGGATCCAAAACTGAAATAAGGAGGAATCTCCTGACCATGAAAGCTATTAAGTAGTGGAACAGCCTGCTTTCTGCAGTCATAGATGTTCCACCTCTGGAGGTTTTCAAACAAACATTGGACAGCCATTTCTTTGGGATGGTCTGAAGATTACTCCCCTGAGCCAGGACTGGGACCAGAAGACCTCCAAAGTCCCTTCCAGCCCTATGATTCTATGAAAGGGTGCCCCCAATTTACAGCGATTTTGCCACTGATGTGAGGCCGAGAGAGCTCCCAGAGCCCCAGAAAGGGATTCCAGCACCCAAGGGATAGGGAGGGGTTTATGAGAACTTCTTAATATTTCCTAACATTTAGGAAAGAGAGAACATCTGGGCTAAGAATGTCACTCCTACCTTTCTCGGTTTCATTGCAGGTAATCCCAGTAAAGCCTTCTGCACAGACACAGAAGAAAGGAGATTCATTTAGGCTCTTGAGACAAGTTCCTCCATTCTGACAATGGTTCCCCTCACAAAAAACCCCTGAAAAAAAAAAAAAAAAAAAGTATGTATCAGTGCAGAGACGAGGAAAGGGGTTGCTCCCTTCCAATCTGCACCTTTGCGCATTTATCTAACCCTCTATCCTATTTCCAATATTGTGCAGATCCAGCAGCAAGCTCCTGCAGATAGCAAATGGGGCGAGAGGTTACAGTTGAGCAAAAGAACACCTATTTCCAAACAAGGGCATGCCACACTTTTCAGGCCAAGGGTTGCACTAATGTTTTGAGTGACGTGCTGGCCACGGCAAGACAAGACCAAGATCGCATTTCAATGCAATTACATTTCCCCTTATGTATTCATTCATTCATTCCTTCCTTCCTTCATCTGTCACATCAAAAATTACAAGCTGGCACTGACTTGGGCTGCACCCAACTCACCGAAGGGGCGCACAACTCCACGGTCACAAATGGCAAGGAAAAAAACTGCTGGATCAGACCAAAAGCTGATCAACTTTGCCGCTTCATTTCATACAGGAACCAAGCAAAGGCCTCTGGGCAATTCAGAAGCAGAGCCCAGTAGTCACTGGCCTCTCTCCTGTTCTTGTTTCACAATGAACAGCATTCAGAATTGTAACCACTCTGACCTTAGAGATAATATATAACCATCCTAACCAATAAAGATTGAGAGCTTTATCATCCATGAATTAGTTAATCCCTTCTTTAAAAAAAAAAAAAAAACAGAAGCCAGCCACTAGGCCTTCATACCCCCAGGTAGTTAATTTCTCTTTTAAATCTAGGTGTTGGTGAAGAGCTACTCTGTCCATGCCAAATCACTCATTCTTACTCACTGCAGGGTCGAGAAAGAGAGAGAGAACCCACCATCACAAACTCATACCCCCTGGGCTCAGACAGACTGGGTAGCCTCCCACACTGGATCAGGACATGCAGCTTTCTTTGGCTTAAGCTACTCCCAAGGTCTTTTTATAGCTCAAGCTCCCTGGAGTTAATCTCACTTCCTGCCGCTCTGCAGCATACAGACTTTGCCAGAAACCTGGCTCCAAAGGGGGAGTTCAAAGTGCTGGTGTGGTTCCTACAGCCAATCCCAAAAAGAAAGCAACAGCACTGGGCAGGAATTCAAGTCCCTGCTTGTGCTGTTGCCCTGGCTGGTTCTGGATGACTTCATCTTCCATCTATGCATTGCCACGAGATACAACCCAGGGAGGAGGGCTTGCCCGGCTCTCGCTCTCCATCCAACTCAAACCATCAAAGGCTGGGAACGGTCTCGCTCCTGAACAGCTTTCAGCCCAGGACCTGTAATGTGCCTGCCAAGCTACTGCAAGAAATCCTAGGCCTCTTCAAAGAAAACAGGAGATGTTTGAATAACCATGTGCCATCATTTGTTTTGATTCTTCTCCTTGTATTCCTTCAGGGCTCCCTTGAGGCCAAGGTCCATTGACTCACTCACAAAAGGTAGGAGGTTTCTGAAGGCAGGAAACTGAACTACCAGCTCACACTGCTGACATGCTGACAAAGTTGAATTCATTCAGGCACAATGTAAACAGAGGATTAAGAGGGAGGGTTCATGCCCCAGACTGTCAAAAAGGTGACCCTACTTATCCCCTATTGTCCTTGCTGTCAACAGTCATTGAACTTCTCTTGCATACCTCTCAGCATTATACAGAAATGTCACAGAACAGACATTTGCATTGCATCACGTTTGGTCTTCACGTCCTTCCTCTATATTAACTTTGCTCTTCGGCTGCATTGGGTGCAACTCCAGTAATTCTCCAACTCCCATTTCCCCAATCAGCTTGATCAATAGTCATGGATTATGAGCACTGCAATCCAAATAAAGCTGGAGCATGCCAGACTGAGAAGGTTGAAGGGCATCTCTATTTCAGTCCTTTTTCTCTTCCTGCTTCAGTAGGCCAAGTATGCCTGTGTCATTTTGATATTTACTTTCCAAACACAAGCTCATTCCCCATCTCTTAAATAAACAACCAACAAACAATGGAAACAGAAACTTTATCTAGTAGCAAGGATAACAAGCTATCATTCCCTTCCACAAGGGGAGCGGTGCCTAATGATTGCAACTTTGGATCAAGACAGCTGGATTCCAACCAGCTTCCAGTTAATTTACTCATTATTCAGAAATTGGATGAGCAGCATTATTGCATCTTAAACCCAATATATACAGCCTCTGTTGTGCAGAGCAAGGAACTACTCCCCCAAATCTATTTGTCTTTAAAGCGGGGGGGGGGGACACAATGCTGGTCTTGATGAGCACAGGAAGGAAAACCTGAAAGCCATTCATCTTCAAAAATAAGAAGGCTTCACTATGTCTCCAATATCCGGCTACAAATAATCATTGCATCTGTTGCTCTACCATCTCCTTAAGACACTCATTTCAAGCACAGCATTTCCATACAGGTCTCCCCCACCAGATGCATTGTCCAGATTTAGAGCTTCTCAGAACAATATGGAGCCTTTTATACTGCCCCACCCCTGCCAGAATCTATCTCCCAAGTGCTCCGTGTTTTCTATTACTCCCTGAGACCTCTGATGTTCTCAGTCCCTTGGGAGGAAGGTCCAGGAAGGTCAAATCCAACGACACAGCCACGTTTTGCTTAGTGACTATCTTGTTTAGTGACCACTCGCAAATGCAACAATCATAAATTCATTTTCCAACCAATGCGTGCATTTACAACCACATTTCATGCACCTGACAACAAGGCATACCAGAGTGGGAGTAACACCGGCATATCTGTACAAGAGAACTCTATCTGAATGAGGTGGCAGCAACCAGCAATCTTCATAGCGTGTGTCTCTCAGTCACACGTTCACTTAGAGACTATTTTGCTTAATGATCTGGTCACTGGAAGAGAACTCAGTCACTCAACAAGGAGCAGGTGCACAGGTATGATTAAGGAAACTTAAAAACTCCCTTTTATCTAATTACTATAAAGACTGTAGCACTACCAGGTGCAACAGAAACCATTCCTCCCCACTCAGAGCATATTTCATTCTGGAATTATCAATAAGGTCAAAAACCATTTAATGCATTTCAGGGCTTGGATTTATCCCCTGACCAGTTCTGGGGTACTGAAGCCGAACAAGCAACAGTTGGAGAAATGACTTCCATGCAGTACCATGTAGAGATGGGAATATGTGTTTTGCTAGCCATGTTGCTACGTTCTTCAGAGCAGATCTAAAACCTCCGTATCCGTTGCCTGTGTTCATGAAGCACAACCAGGAGCTAACCCTCACGTAGGTGACGTTCTCCAAATCTATTTTATGACTGGTTCGGTGAAAACTGCCTATCCTATGTTTGTTAACTCAACCCTCCTTTGATGGTTTTTACTTCTGCATTCAATGGAACGTCTAGTTTGCTCCCACATTCCTCCCTTTTTATTTTCAGAGGTTTATACTCCATCCTGTATTTCTTTTGTCCGTTGTGTTTCTGATGCTGTCAGTCACACCTGTGATGTCTGGAAGCCTTGCAAGTAGGTCTTCCATTGTTGGGATATTTGAGGTTTGTATTATGAGTCTCATTTGTATGAAAGACTGTTTTGTTTTTAAACAGCGCGCTCATTACCCTGAGAACAGATCAGGATTTTCATTTGTGCAACTGGATTTGACAACACCTCTTCAAATCTAACTGGTTTCATTTTCCTCCACAAAGGGCTGAAAGTGCTGAATCTGCTCAGAAACATTCCAGCTGTCTCGACAGGTTACCGCTTACCGTCGCAGATTCAGGCCCAAACCCAACACGGCTCGGCGGTAGAAATTTAAACAGGTTTTTTTTTTCCTGTTGTCACCATCAATCAGAAATAAAAATACATTGTGCTTGTTCCTTCCATGCTTGCTTTGGGAATGAAGCACTTAGCAGAAAAAGAGCTCTCAGATATAACCATAGTGACAAATATTGCAAGGTAGTTTGCATAAAGCTTGTAACCTTATTCTGTACTGAATGAGGATCACATCACACAACATGCTAAGCGAAAATATGACTAGTTTGGTTTTGACTCAGCGTGTTGTGCAAAGCAGGCCACTGTAATTGACAGGCCATGCTTTATGACGTAATGTTGTGTGAACTCAGCCAACTGGAGCTTGGTTAAACAAACCATTATTTAAGTGCAATGCATATAGTTTTGTTCTTTATCCAAATAATTTAAGGTGGCTTTTTCTAAAATATGACTTCTTCCCCAACATACCCGCTGGCTGAGATTAATTATATAAATTATGGTTTATTCAAACACAGCTTACTGAATAAACCACAATAGGCTGGTTTCACACAACCAGCTAAGATATAAATCATGATTCATGAATTGCAATGGCCAGATTTGCAGTGCACGCTAAGTAAACATACCTTCTTAAGGCTTAGGGCAGGGATTCTCAAACTATGGGTCAGGATCACTGGGGGATAAGCAACGTAGAGGGAGGTCACAGCCTCCAAGTGGGAACGCTGCAAAAATTCACCATGCTTGCCTGAGAAAGTGGGGGGGGGCAGCTGCAGTACCTCAAAAACCTGATAA